TGACTAAATCCAGTACTTATGTGGCTACTTCAAAAGTTGACACCAGTGAGCCAAAATTTCTTCTGGAGTTCGATAATGAGCAGTATTGCAGAAGCTACTTCATGATTAGAATTATATATTGTGTTTCTTAATTTACATTGGTCATCTGTATGTTCCATATTTGTATTTTGTGTATCAGAAGATTTGGGTGGCATCCAATTGAGTCCCTTTGCTATTGCAAAGGTTCTGTTGATAGAAAAAAATCCTGTTCATTCAAGTGAAACATAATGCTTTGATTCCCCTTGTACACATTTTTTTTCTTTGAAAATTTGTCCAATTCTTAATTAAACTAGATGCTTCTGCTAGGTGCTTAACTAAACCTAGGTGCTTGTGCAGTAGATAGCAGATACACAACTAATAATGAAACTGTGCTGCCAGCAACGGTGGTTCTGCTGGTGTTATGTTGAACACAAATTCTAGTACTTAGCAAACATTTTCTTTTTCAAAAATATTTATATTGTCCTATTGTTTATAAATATTATCTCCTATTTTCATAAGTTAAATATTGACAGAGTGCATATCAGAATTTTGTTGGTAAATGCACATTGGAAAAATGAGTAAAATTAACTTTTGAATAAATTCATACAAATGAATGTATCTAATTTAAAAAAATAAACTTGTAACTTTTAAGAAAGAACATTTATAGGAAAAACTTATTTGCAAGTTGAAGCAAGCAGAGAAATTGTTCTTTATTTCATTTTAAGCAGGTTCCTCTGTTCTTTAACAGCAACAACAAAAATTAACAACAAAAACTAATTCTCAACAAGAGTATTGATTAGATATAAACTGATTATGAAGCAGCCCAGGAATTGGTGGCCCAGTCATTTCTTATACAATTAAATCCCTCCTCCTTCTTTATGGAAATTCAACTGTGGGCATTTTAGCATTAGCCTAAACAATGGGTTTGAATATGTTAAGCTCCTAACAATTAGAGAGAAGTTGGGGCATTGAATAATGTGAAATGATGCAATTGAATCTGACAGCTTTAACAGTCAGCCTTCTCATGGGACCCCAAAGTTGTTCACACTTGGTTTCATCTCTCATCACATGCTGAGTATTAAAACCTTACTGGAAGGTGTCTTAAACTTAAGTGGGGTGTATATCAGAAAATATTTAGTATGTTAAAAGTTGAAATGACTGGGAGTTTGTGCTTTTTAAAAAGATTTTATAAGATTCAAATAATATATAGCAGGGCAATTTTTCTATTAGTGCATTCGTTTAAAAATAAATTTTGAATAGCAGTGCATAGCTCAACAGAAATCTCTCCCCCCCCCCCCTTACCTTCAAGTCATTTCTGATCCTAGTGTCTGCCTAAACTAATCCATGCAATTGTATTGGCAAGATTTTCGGAAGTAGTTTGTCATTACCATCTTCCTAGGGCTAACATGGAATGACTGGTTAAAGTCACTCAGCTGACTTCATGCCTAAGGAAAGACTAGAAGTCACAGTCTCCCAGCATACCCAGATTGGTGAATTGTCTAGTAAAGCTGTATAAAGTCTTTGTGTTTCAGTAACAGCAGAACAGATGCATTATATGTACTGCAATGTATTTAGTAAATTAATTTACATATTTATATCAAAATGTCATTTTTTATATTTTATTTTTTAAATGTAGGTAATGAAGGGAAAATATGCAACCTGTTTAATGTAAGCATTAAAATAATAGTTTTACATGATTTGGTACTATATTCCAGTGCTATATTCTTATAATCAAAGGGATTTTTGCGGTAAATAGTTATATACACAGAGAAAGAGATAGAAGCACACACACAAATATATATACAAATGACACGCAAGCATACACATGCATGCAACCATTTTGTTTTAATTTCAATGTTATAATTTTAGTAGTATATTTCTTAATGATTTTCATTAACCTGATCCAAATGAAATAAGGTGCATTATACTTTTAAAAGTGCTAAAAGCTTTGCCTTGATTTGATCTTTATCATATTATTCAAATTATTCTACATTTTTAATAAATGTTTTTAATGAAGTTGAAATACAAAGTAAATGGTTCTTTTTTACTTTTAAATAATACCAAAATTGAATATTTATCTCAATATGTAAAATTGTTATACTGTGTGTTTCTTAGAGAGCTAAATCCCCTATTTTTAACCAATTTTTTTTAAATAAAACCTTTTTGTTTATGGCACTGTTGTAGTTTCATAACCAATTTTAAAAATTTTGTCCCAGTGTAAAGATCACATTATAGATATAATATACAACTAATGAAACCAGTAATATTCTATCTTGATCAGAGAATGCTATTGTCTTGGTATCAGGTTTAATGTTTTTCTTATGTTTCGGAAAACAGTTAGTCAGAAATGATAGTTGGCATTTTCTACAGCTTTTATTTAAAACACCAGTGTCCTGTTTACCTTTTAATCTTATTTTAATCTCTTATCTGCAGCTAGAGTAACCAAAAGGACAATAAATAAATTAATAATTCTATAAAAGCCTTCCTTTCATGCCTTGAACTTTCACCTGAAAAGTGATTTGTTTACATGAATGAATGTATAAATGAATTCAGAATTTTTCATAATCTCTAGTAACAAAAAACACCCCAACTTTGCTGATTTTGTTCATGTAAGTGCTTGCTTGCTGTTTGATGGCTCTAATGTAAAAACAAATAACTATAGTACCTGACATACTTAGGTGAATAAGTTGTTACGGAAGATGTGATGAGAACATATTTTTGTTCAGTAAATTGATTTCATATATGCAGAGTTATAGGAATTTTCATTGGACATTTACAGGTTTCAGGTGCTCAGATTCACACTATTCCAATTGAAATTACATGTTTGTAAAAGTTGGAAAACAGGATGTTCTGTGGAAGCGTTTCTAATTTATATGATCTCACTTCTCCTTTAGGTGTTAATTTTTTATGCTGTGTATCTTGCTTGTGAGAGTTGAATTACTGTTTAATTATTCATTAATCATATGAGGTTTATGAATGAATAGATACTATGCAATGGGAAAATACTTTCTTTGAAGGGATTCTTATTCTATGGATCTGGCTAGTGGTCTGCCTCAAAACAATAATGAAAACATCAGTCTTTTCCAATGAAATTTCACAATCTCCTCCCACCCTTGATTTTCTTATGTGCTAGATGTCATATTTGCCTTTGGGGAAGGGGAAACTAGAAAGAGATAAAAGGCTGACTTTTCTTTCTCATTGTCCCTGTAAAAATGTTTCTTGGTTAAGGATATTTTACCTGTCAGTTCTTTATTCCCACTTCCCAATAGGAAAATGTTTAAGAAGTAGTTCCTAGTGGTTTATAAGCAAAGTTGATCAATTATCACTTTAAAAGTTGGTTTCAGGAGTGAAAAACCAAGTCCAGAGGGGAAGGTCCATTTATGCTGATTGTTAAAACCTTATGCAGAGGAAGTGTCTCAACTAATGGTCAGTACCTGACATAGAGTTAGATCAGAGTCAGTGGCATTCAAGGAAGGTTGGACTTAATTCTTTAGTAGCTACATAGGGGTTCAAAGCTGATCCCTTTTTCACTCTGTCTCCAGATTCTGCCATTCCTTCTATATTTGGTAAGTATGGAGTGTTGGCAGATCTTAATGCCAGAGTACAGCGTTTCTAGAACTACAGGAATATGTTTCTGTTGGTTGCATTTATACAACTTTGACAATTACTTTGAAGCATTTAAAATTTTATTGATCACAAAGGTGGAATTATGATTACCTTTTTTGATGAATCCACTAGCCTATAAAGTGCAGTCTTTAGCAAATTATTTAAATACTCCCTCCTTTGTTTAATGGGAATTACTTTGTAGTAAGTGTTCTTAATTGTTTTGGACTGCATTTGGTATAGTAACTTGTTTGTAAAGCAAATGTATGTTCTTTTCAAATTTCAAATTTAAAAGTGCTTATAATTTCAGTCATTTAATGGTTTATGTATCAAAGCTATAAGACAATATATTTTTAGAACCTTTGTCTGGCCATTAGACTTCTGAATTAAGTTTTCAAATGCCATTAATTAATTGAGAGTAATGTAGTCAAGGAGAGAAGATGTTTTATTACACTGGATTAAGCAAAGATATTACAAGGCTTAGAACTGGCAAAATTCAGTTTATCTTGTTAAGGATTCATCTTCTTTTGCTTGACTGAAGTCCCATCAGAAAAATTGAGAATTGTTGTTAGCAGGATGGATGGATAAAGAGTTTTCCAGTAAGTCAAGTTGGCTATCTGCCAAAAATCTATTCCTTATTATGAGGTTCAGGACAGAACTGTGATTCTGATGAGACCTTTATTATATAGAAAACATACCTGGAAGCAGAGCTGCTTTTCTTTTTATGGGAAAAATAAGCTTTCTTGTGCATAAAAAATAGGAAGTTACTAAATAATAAGGAGGTTGTCCTGATGACAAGAATACAACCAAGGAAATATGACTTAAGGCAGTGTTTCTCAAACTTGGCAATTTTAAGGCATGTGGACTTCAACTCCCAGAATTCCACAGCCAGCTGTGGAATTCTGGGAGTTGAAGTCCACATGCCTTAAAATTGTCAAGTTTGGGAAACACTGACTTAAGGGTACAATTGAAATGGGACCTTTTGACCTCATTGCATTTTTGTGATGTAAGGAGTAGGAGCATTTGTGAGACATCTATTATCTACCTGCCCTTATTTTGTAAATAGTTTTAAAAGTTTAAATAATTAGTGTGAGCGCATGGTCATCAAGAAGCAAAATCCTTATATTCCCATGTGATTTAGAAATGTGGGCAATTCTTTGTTCAGCAATATTTTGAAAATATAATTCATGGTTCATCTTAGTTTTACTGTAAAAAAATCCTGCAAATGTATTTTCACTGCTTTTAAACTTGTGTCAACAGGATGCTTGATTACTAGATTATTAGATTGATTAGATCAAATTTTAATTTAATATGTTAAAGATATATTTTAAGATTTTCCTTTGCAGATTTCCAATTTCTGTAATTCTGTGTTTTGACAGGCATTACCTGGATCTTCCCTTGGCCTTCCTCCTTCACATGTCTATGGCAGTAGGTTAAATTCTAACTCAACACTGGCATCACATGCCACACAAGCTGAAAACATTCAGTTAGGCAAGTTAAAATTTCTTTTTAATGGTATATATATTTCTAAAAAATTTATTTATTTATTTATTTGCATGCTCAACTGCTAGCTGCATTTTTCAGACCAATAATGCTTTACACCACAGCGTATGTGAAATGTAAATGTTTAAGCAGAGCAATGAGCAGGCAGGAATGCAACAATGTCTCTTGTGACTTTTTGTGATTGATGTGTTCAGTTTCTTTAGTTCTTTGCAATGAAAGTAGCATTGGGTTTTTGTTGTGAATCGTTTAAATCTTTATTTGCATAATTTATGGAATTACATGATCTCTGAGTTGGTATAGCTGAGATCCTGTTACTTAAGTTCACCAATAACTGAATAAATACTAGTTGGTCTTTTTCATAGTACTAGTTTTTTTTTAAAAAAAATTAATAAGCTCCTGGATTTGCTTTGTTTCATTCTATCTTTAAGGATTTGTTGACATGTCCTAATAGTCATGCCTATCTGGGGGAAGGGAATGAGTTTAGCAGTTTACCAAGAATGGATCAGTCATGTCTTGCCCTCTAAAAGACCAAGGGTCATTTGCTGCAGAATAGGGGGAGGGCCGCCTTGAAAGGGGCAGATAGGGTTATTTTATTGAGAGGCCATAGGGAAAAATAACCCTTTTGAGTCATGCCATGCAAGACATTTCAGTATATCTGACAAAATGTTTTTTTAAAAATCTGTTAATCTCTTCTTGTTTTTTCTTTTTACATAAAATTGGAAATTACTAAAGACTTATTCTTGCTTTAATGGAAGAGAAACATTTCCTAGCATTTGTTACTAAAAAATTGTGAGAAAAAGTTACTAGTAGAAGTGTCTATGGAGTATGGTTTGTGAATTTTCCTGGGATGCAAAGTGTTAAAAAATACAAAGCCTGAGGATCTGCTGTGATAAGCATACAGATTAGCTGTCCACAGCTGTGATTCATTACTTTCACTGCAGAAATTAAAAGTGGCTGAGGGGAGGGTACTAGAAATACAAACCATGCTTGTGTGCTGTAAAACTGAAAGCAGAGAAAAGACTAAGGTTAATCCATGGCCTGCTTCACCCACAGAAATTTGTACAGAGAATACTTTATCCATTGCAGTTAGCAGCTTTATAGTAGTTCTCTCTGGTATTGCTACTGGAGTAATTGCTAAAAGTGAGGGACATCTTGAAACATTTTAAAACCTTAGTTCCGAAAGAGTCACTTTTGGCTGTGAAATTTTTGCTGTGCAGATCAAGATCTTGGAGACAATAGCCGGAGCCTGGTTGGAAGGGGAGGTTCACCCAAAGGAAGTATTTCACCACGGTAAGCAAAATTTACAATCAGTTAAGGGGAAAAAAAAATATTTTTAAGCTACAGACATTTTAATAAGATGTCCTATTTAAGTTGAATAAAATTATGTAGATATATTCTGTTGAACTAAGGAAATATTTTAGACTAATTTGAATTCACAGTAATATAATAAAACTATGTCTTTTCTTATGCATAGAAATTACTGAAGAATTAGGTACTTTTTTTTACATTATCTTGTCTCACTTGTATAGTTAGTTTTACAGAAAAGCCCATGCACTAATAATTATCAGATAAATGCTATCATAAGAATATTAAATGCAAATATTTTTATTAGTTTTTGAGTGTTAACAACACTGAAAAAAAGTGAAGAATCTTGTATAGGCAGTGAAATTAATATTTTTAAAGATTTAAAACAACTAGAATTCAATTAGTGGTTGATAGGTGACTAGCATAAAAACATGGTACTACACAGTTTGAGTGTTGAAGATTTTAGCATTTTAAAAGTGTTTCATTTTAATTTATCATTGATAGTACACATGTGTACTACAGTCTGCAAATAGTTAATACACGGGTAATAAACTTAAAAAAATAATGTCAGTGTGCCACTTATGTTTATGAATTGCTGTGTCATGGATAAACTGTGTGTTAGTGATCTGTGGCCAGATTTTCAAGAAACTGGAGATCTCAAAGACTGACTGAAAAATATATCCACTCTGCAAATTAGGTCAGTGGTCGTCTTAGGAACAAATCCTTTAAAATCTTTTGAAGCTGAGTGTGATTGACTTCTAATTAAGTGTTCTAAAAATATACCTCTACTTACTGAAATAAGAAAGTTACAGAAGAAAGTAGATCTCTAGGTTAAAATGATTTAGTTTTATTTTAGCTTTTTAAAGAAAAAATTTATTCACTGTGTTAAGGCTGTTGATAGGAGAATGAAGGAATCAGAATTAAGACATAATACTGAGAAAAATTATGTTGTTCTTTGGATGGTGTTTATTATAATAAAATAAACATGAATTGAAATAGCATAGAATTGCCAAATTTATATACAATACTAGAGTTTATATAAGCATACTACTTAATAAATATCTATATAGATATATGGAGGAAGAGTTTAGAAGATACATAGTACAATAGAATGTATATAAAGATTTTTATTCTCTAAATGATGCAAAAATAATGTAAGACAGAAATACATGTGTCAGAAAGATGCATATTAAACATAGCAAAGAGTCCTTTTTATTTTAATCGTATTCATCTATTTGTAATATAAAAGCTGTCAGAATTATATCTAACCAAAGGTCTTTAGTGAATCTAATACCAAATCTCCAGCATAAGCTAGGTCTATTTTTCAGAGGAATTATTCAAGAAATACGTAGGGATGGGTGATTTGTTCTTTGTCACCCTTGCCTTACAAATACCCATAGGCAGGTATCCTAGATATTTCAGTTTGACTGCATTCTCTTAAGCATTTGTGGCCATATAATCTTCAAGTATTTCCATAAAGTTTATACCAGTGGCTCAGCAAAGCATTCAAGGCAACAAATGATATTGTGCAGTAGTACTGCTTAAAGAACACAATACCTTTTGAAAATATGTCAGTAATTTGCTAGTCATTGGCTACTAAAATCCATAAATATTTTATCTTAATTTAATAATTGTATAATTCAATACAGTATATTATCTGATCTTAGACATGGATGATATGGTTGATTAACCATATGGAAGAGCAATTTACTGTTGGATGAATTCTGATATTAAAGAGAAGAATAATTTCCTAACACTGTAATTTGAGTTCGTGCCAAAAACAAAACAAAAAACTGGTGAAGAGTTATGATCTATTTGGAATTTTAATCTTAAAAACTAAGAAAAAATGGTTCTTTTTAATAGCAAAGATAATTCTAGTACAAATACTACAACATTAAATCATTATTTAAGTATATTTGTATAATGTATGATTATCATTTATTTATTATTCCATCTCCACCCTCACCACCCATTCCTTGGTATATATCTTCTATTGTGAAAAAAAACTAGAGTGCTGGCACTGATTGTGTGTGTGTGTGTGTGTGTGTGTGTGTGTGTGTGTGTGTTTATTTTCAATGACAACTGGGAACATGGGAAAATAATGTTATATATTTTTACAGTGAAGCAAGGGAACAATTACAGTTCAACAGAAAAGGGTTGCTAAAATTTATTTAATTTCAAAATACCTATTTACAAGTTCTGTGATTTGATTATGCATGATATATTATGCTGCTGTAATGATAAACACAAATATAACATTATTCACATTTGACATTTTAGTTGAAGTCATTATCATCAAATAATTTGTAATAATTTGTAATGTTAATTTGTGTGCATTTCAGGATATAAAACTTTCCAAATTGTAAAGGCCTTTGTAAATTAAGTGTTGATCAAGATTTCTTAAATTAGTGTACTGGCTGCATAAATATTTAATACTTTCCTGCACATAATTACTATTGCTGTTACACTTTTTCTGTTATTAATTTTTGAATTCAGTTATATTGATGTCAGAGGAAATCTTACTAAAATATGCATTTAAGTGAAGATGTCTGGGACATGATGACTGTCTTTTGTTATATCTTCTGTAGTTATTTAATTGAAAGGGACAATTTTGCTCTTTCTTTGTGCCATATGGCTATAGCATTTTATCAAGGTGCTTATTTGGTCTAATATTTTCTAAATGTATTATAGTTAACTTCATTATATATGTACATATTTCTCATTAAGTTTATATGTTATTAAAAAATCCCTGTAAATTAGTACACTTTCAGTTATCTATGCAACATTAAATTAGTTCACCTAAATAACTCAAGTTTTGATTTTAGTACAAAAATCTCCTAAAAGAATTGACATGCGGGAACTTCATTGTTAAACTGTTTGGTGCTGAGATCTATAGGTATCTTAAGGAGTATTGATTAAAAGAGTTAAGAATAGCCAAGAAAACTGATATGTGTATGTTGTATATATCTCCTCTCCCTTTGTTCTTTTAGTGTAATTCATAACCTTTCTACAGGTCTCCTGTAAGCAACTTACAGATTCGTTATGATCAATCTGGAAATTGCAGTGTAGAACATTTGCCTCCAACACCATCTACTATAGAACAACTTCTGGAGAGGCAGTGGAGTGAGGGACAACAGTTCTTGCTGGAACAAGGAACCCCCAGTGACAGTAAGTTTTTCATCCTGTTCTGATTAATATCCATCAGATATGTTTGTAAATTTTATATTTGAAAGATGATCATCATTCCTGGTATGTAAAGATATGCCTAAAATGTTAGTCATTTACTTTAATTTTTCTGCAGAATTATTCTGGAATGGGAGGATGGGAAATTGGTAATAAAATACAAGATCATAAATTTATTTTGAAATTAAAGCTTGTCTGTATCTTCAGTAACTAGTGTTATTCTGATTACATATGCATATAATTACAATAAATATTTGAATTGTTTTAAAATTATTTTATTATTTTACAAAAAATTCCTTTAGTATATTTTCTTGATTACTGATCATGAGTGAACTGCCAACTAGAGGTATGTGTGCGTCTGTGTGTATGTGTGTGTTTTTATGAATGGTATCCTGACAAAAATGCTAATTGTGAGGAAATTCATGCAGGGATAATCCTTTAAACATGATAGCTGGAGGACAGGTTTAGCTAAGTCTTATTGCATCTCATTTGGGCACACTGAGAGTTCCTTTGTATATTCTTGAAGAGGAGGGATAAAAAGCTAAATCCTTGGGAAATGACCAGATGTGCCTGCACTGCTATACTTGTGTCTGTACTAGGCCTAAAGGTCATGTTAAACAAATACAATTTAGAATTTTAAAAGCAGCTTTTATGGTGCTATAATGGCCAAACTGTCTTTATGTGCTAGCTGAGAAAAGTTCCAAAATTTATCCAAAATTCAAATTTGAGAACAGAAGTGGCTGAGGGCAAAGGCTGCAGGAGCCTTAATGATCCCTGCTGGATGCTCTTTAAATGGACATTCTGGATTCTGTTGATTTAAATGCAATAAAAAGTTCCCATTGATTACAGAAATTATGTGGTTATTTTACATCAGCAATTAAAAAACACAAAATTGTCTTGAGGTTATAATAGTATATTAAACTTTATAATTGGGTGTGTTTTCTTTTCTGAAACTATATTATTATTATTTATTAATAGAAGGGGTATTTTCACCCAGCCCATTTAAAAAAATTCTCCATTTCAAATTGAATGAAATAGAAAACATTTGTACAACGTGTTCACAAATTTTGGTAGGGCAAATGATTGATTGTGCTTCAAAGATTCTGGACTTAAGCCTTGAACTGTTAAATATTTCCACGAGAAATTAAAAACATTATGGTGTTAAGAGAATTTCACAATATTTTTGATAAAATGATATTGCTCTTTCCATAGTATCATTGGCACTGTACTTCCAGCAAGGGAGGAATCTTAGGCTATATATTTGTGGATGAACAGATCTAGTGCCCAGATCTGGTCTCTCTGCCTATCTAGAAATAATACATTAATTTAATTCTCATTATGGTTAATTTCAAGAGATATTTGAAATATTTTCCATTTCTTCAATATTTTATATGGGCATAATTTACATTGCAAAGAAATATTCTCCAGTAATTTAAGTATTAGCAAACAAGGAATTACAGTAATGTAGCAGAATAATTGCATATACAGAATGATGTACAAACATTTTTGGATGCAATTTTTAGGGTTTTAAAATATTTTTGTTTAGTTTTAGGCATGCTGAAATCTTTACATCAGCTTCAAGTTGAAAATCGCCACTTAGAAGAACAGATTAAAAATCTAACAGCTAAAAAGGAGCGCCTCCAGCTCCTAAATGCCCAGCTTTCAGTTCCTTTTCCAACAATAGCAACCAACCCAAGTCCTTCTCATCAAATGCCTACATTTTCAGCACAGACTGGTAAGTAAAGAAAAGTAGTTTTTTCTTTTAAATTGAGTTTTACAACAATTTCTAAAAGGTTTATAGGCTCTTACCTAAATAAAAGATGAATGTTATCTCTGTGGGAAGAATAATTTTATTATTCCTCCTTTCTATAATATGAATTAAGCCTGAGAACATTTTCAAAGAGAAAAGCATATGCATATTAGATATGTTTGAAATTTTGAGGATGATCAAAAGGAGAAAGTGACTTAAATTATCAGTTTATGCATCTTTATGATGTCAACAATCATTCACAGCTAATGGAATTTCCCCCAAAAATATTATAAAAACTGCAGTTCAAATAACAGCTTTCTTTTTAACTTTGTCTTCCAGCTGTGATTGAATCCAATATCGGCAATAAAAATTGTGGACATGAATAGCTTGATTTATTAGTTTCAAAGTTTATATTTTATTAAATATCCCCACATAATTTCTGCATCAAAAAGCATAAAACCTTATTAAGATTGTTTTTCAATTGTCACTCTAGCTGCTGGCTCTGATTCCCTGAACAGCAGCAAAAGCCCTAACCTGGGAAGCAGTTTTCTACCTGACAACTCACTCCCTGTATTAAATCAGGTACTGGTTTTTAGTAGCTTTTACATATCTCATTAGTTAATATTACTTTCCTATTATTTTGCTGTTTTGTGAGGTTTGATATAGCTGAGTCTTTGTGTTTTTATTAGGAAATACATTCCAGTGGACAAAGCACTAGCAGTTCCTCTGCTCTTTCCACTCCACCACCTGCTGGGCAAAGTCCAGCCCAGCAAGGCCCAGGAGTTGGAGGAGTTCAACAGGTCAATGGTGTGACGGTGGGGGCATTTGCCAGTGGAATGCAAAGTGTAACATCCAACATTCCCACAGTGGGTGGAATAATTGGAACTGTGCCAGGTAACCAGCTGGCAATCAATGGAATCGTTGGGGCTTTAAATGGAGTAATTCAGACTTCTGCTACAATATCACAGAATCCTTCTCCTCTAGCTCACACAGCTGTGCCACCAAGTACAGTGCATCCTCTGCCAACCACACTCAGTAACAGGTAAATTCTTTTGCAAAATAGATATGTAAATAGGTATATTTGGAAATAATACTCTAATAATGAAAGTATTTGCTTATAGGTTTTTGTCTCTCTTATATTCATCCTTACACAAGTAATTTACCAAAGTATGTTTGGATTTGGTGGCATACAGGTTCAGTAAATAAACAAATAAATACATACATTCCAAATTGCATTCTCTACTCTTCCTTTCAATCTCATTGTTTGCATTTTACCTTACAATGTTTATGGGGAATACAAAATTAGTGATATATGTGTGGGGAAAAAAGAAAAATCATACTGTTTCCTGAAACAATTTAGCAATCTGATCTCAATTCCAGCATGCATCCATGCTGTGTAAATTAAGCAGCATAAAGGCATAATAAATCAGTCTACAATTCAGTAGAAAATTAAAGAGGATGCCCCACAGAATGATGACCATCATCAAAAAAATCATGTCTTAGAAAGGTTCTTTCTCTGTTCTCAAACTTAAGTTTCTATGAAGGTAATCATTTCATCAGGCATCCAAGATCCAAATGGCATACCATTTTAGAGAGAAGGCTAAACTGCATTCTTATAATACTGGAGAGACATGTTTTAAATGCCTAGCCTGGTTTTCTTCCTACTAGCATGCCAACAATACAGTTGTGTTAGTTAGTGCTTCCAAACTGCCAGTGACAAGCATGAAGCATGGTCTTTAAGGTAGATTAAAGGCACTCTTGGTGCTGCCACCATCTACCTTACCATCACCAAAATAGTCTTATGTTAAGGAACATCTAAGATTGCAGCATTAGACCTTCAGAAAGTGCAATGGCATCCAGAAGCAGTTAAGCTTCTCTGTCTAGGTCAGTCTGTTATCCTTTTGGTACTGTCCTAGTACAATTTCAGCATCAGAATTAAGTTTCAGTTTATTTCAGCCTCACCCATTATTTCCAAATCCTTGCTCAGAAGTATAATTGCCTCCTTAAATTAATAGATAAAATGGTTATTTAATGTGTGGCTCTTCTGCATATTGATGACTCTTTAGTCAAACCTTTTGATATCTTTGTCAAACACATCTCTAGATATTCGGATGACTTCAATTTGAGATGCCACTACACTAAAGTTAGTATTCTTGATAGACAGTGATTATTGCCTCAAAACTATATATTTTTATTTAGTTTATTTAAGAAATGTTAATCTTTTTAAGGTAATAGGAGGACCTTGTCTTCTAGGTAAGACAGTAAACCCAGCAATGCGGACAATAAATTCAGTTTGGCTAATTTTAATAAGGATCAGCAAATACTTAGAGGACAAGTAGGAAACACAAACCTCCAGGAAGCAATTATTCAATTTCCATAAATTATATACACTGAAATAAATGATTACCATTTTACCTTATCTTCAGCTATTTTATTTCAGAGCATAACATAGAGTCACTTTTAAAAGGAGAGTAGCCATATAAATTAATAAAATAAAACTAATCATAAGTGTCCTATGATATTTGTACCAACTTGGCTTTATTCCTATCATTCAAGATTTCATACCACTCAAAGCTGCTTCACTGGTCAATAATCTTCAGAGTTATTTGGAAAGGGAAATGAGTTTTAAGTTTTAAGATTGACATGGAAAATGTAGAGTTTTCCATACATTATCAGCATTCATTGTTTGGCTAGTGGCCAGGGGTGATGCTTTGTATGTAAAATGTATAACTCCCCATGTTTTGCAATCACAGAAATAACCTAGGGGTAACAGACTGCATTGCTAATGTTTGTTTCAACAGTTGATTTGGTGTGCACTATTCCCTTCAATTATTCCTATTTGCTCTTAATATTAGTTTTGCCAGATAGTTCATGAAATATCAGATTTGCTCATGTCCTTCATAGGAAAAGCTAAATATCAATTTTCTATTTTATTTAATGATACAGTGTTTATATAGAACCAATGGTTAAATCATATGAAAGTTGAGACCTGAAAAAAGTTAATTTTCCAGAAATAAGTGGTGAAAAATCCATATTTAGTGATTGAGTGAAAGAAATATAAAACTCCAAATACTGAATGAGGAACTCTAGAATGTAATAGTTAAAATGTTGACAATGGATTAGAAAATTGTCAGTTGAAATAAAAAATATATGAAACTTAGAAATGGCAGATTTTAATGCTTAATTTGAAAATATTGATTCTGGTATATATTCAATGTATGTTTTAATTTGTTTTGGCAAATATGTGCTGTTTTTTATATAGAGGTATATGATTGCATATACAACTGGTTGTTTAACAATTGGTTGAAGTTATAATGGACTTTAAAAAACTACTTACAATCCATCCTCAAAATTCCTGATTATTGGCACACACATCCTCCCCCAGACACATTTGGGCCTTGCAACTGGCTCATATTTATAACCCATTGCACCTTTCTGTGGTCTCATGAGCACAATTTGAAACATATTTCACCATTTTCCAGCAGAAGTGTGAAAGCCCATTGAACATGCTGGATTCGCTTAATGACAACACAGTTTGTTTAACAACTATGATGATTATCTTTATAACTGTCATAAAAAGGTCATAAAATCAAATCTGGTCAGTAGTGCCTCAACATACAACCACGAAGATTTATGATTGAAATTCTGTACTCCAGTGTGGTCATAAATTGAAGACTACCTGTAGTGCAGGTAGTTTTCCCACACTACAGGAATTTAAAAATTTCCCATAGTTTTAAAATATATAAAGAGGCATTTGATGGCTCTCATCCTTGCTTCTTAGCATAGCTCAACATGCCACTGAAAATATGGATGAGATTTTCAATGTTTGTACAATTAAATACACTGGTTATTTTATTATCATATCACTGATATTAACTACTTTGCTAGTTCAGTTATATTTATTTTCTAATGTTATATCAGTAAATGTTATATAAGCAAAATTTTAAGATAAAAATTGAGTAGATGCTTAGAAATCCATGGATCATGCTTAGAAATCCATGCACATAAATCTGTATATATTTTAGTTTTAAATGGTTTATTTTTTCAGAAAGTATGGTATAGAAATGATTCAAGCATGTAAATGTGTCTTGCTATTTCACAGAACCTCTGGACTTGGATTTCTTCCTGACCAACAGAGACAACTGCTGCTGCATCAACAGCAGCAACAATTTCACCAGTTACTAAATACTCAACAATTCACATCAGTAAGCATTTCTATTTTATCATTATATTTTCAATTTTCAAGAATGAATGCTGATGGTTAGATATTACAGCCTATCTCTGAGTAACATCAGAATGCCCATGGATAAGCCAGAGATCTGCAGTTTTAAAAAAGAGGAAAGAATGTGATTTAAAAAACATAGGCCTAAAAGAAAAGAAAATTTGGCATGTCTTCACTTATTGCATTAAAAAATAACAGAGCAATAAGAGAATGTACACACTATTAATTGAAGAGCCAGTTTGCTCTAGTGGCTAGAGCACCAGGCTACAAAGTAGGAGACCAAGAGTTCCTTAGCTATGAAAGTCAACTAGCTTTGGGCCAGTCACTTTCTCTCAGCCCAACAATAACCTATAGGTTGTTGCTGTAGGAAAAATAGGAAGAAGATATGTTGGATATGTTCACTGCCTTGAGTCATTTGTAACAATAAAGAATGCAGGATATAAATAAATAAATAAATTTCTATATCATTGTGGCTTCTGATCCACTCATCTGGATTATCTGCCTGTACAGAGCCCCATTCAGACCTAGGACTTTCAGATTTGTTTGATTGGAGGTCCCTAGACATAGTTCCCATTGATCCCCTTCAGTCTGTTTTCTGTCATCGCAATGTTAACATTTTTGTTCTTCTGCTTCTGCTTTAGTTCATTCCTTATTTTTTATTTTTTTTTAGTCTTAGCATTTCTTCAAACATCCTTAGACTTTTTCATCAGGATATCCAACCTTCAGTCTTATGACTATGAGACTATTTCACGTGCTGGTGTTTATGAGAGCAAATGGGCATGAATTGAACTTTTTTGCCGATGAAATAGACTTCTATTATTTCTTCCAGGCATTTACTAAATAGTCATTTTGTCTTTCAAATTGACAGTTGATCACCTCATTTTTTCAAAGGTTGATAATTGAACTTTCCACAATCTGGAGAAGATACGTAGATCTCTATTGCACCATTATCAACATCTCCCATTAAAAAGTTGGAATTTTTTCAGAGGTTTCAGATTTCAGTCAGGGCAATAGGAAAAAGCTCCTTTGTTTCCTGCCTTCTTTAATTATCCTTTTACTGTTCCTGTTATTTATAGTGTCCAGTCTTTACTAATTTTTGTTTAAGCACCTGCTTTGATCTCAGAAACATATACTTCAGACAGATCCCTCTAAAGATCTACTTTTGTAGAACTGTACTCCTAACCATTGGGATAGTCAAAACCAAAATCTTCCCTTATTGGGAAAAAAGTCACTTAACTCATACCTGATCACCTCATACCTATTCTGTTTCTGAAGGACATATCTCTCCAAATTCTGTTGGCTACATGCTTTCCCACTCTTCTAGGACATATAATTTCTTACATTTTCATAATCCCAATTATTATACCTGTATTTCCTGGAATAGTTCAAGATATACTGAGGCAAAACTTTGCATGTATTGACTAACTCCATATTCTTATCAAATTCCATCACCTAAGCATATTTATAGAGTGATAACATGATATATAGCCTTTGCATATGTTGCATTCTCTTTCTCAGAACTTTTCTCCTCAGAGATGTTCTTTCAAAGTAGATTTCACATCTGAATTCAAGTTGGTGTGATTTCATGTCCAGGACTACCTTACCCTAGACAGAGAAACATGCATTTGCTGAGATCATTTGGCTACATTTTTGGCCCACTGTCATTGATAAGATGACATCATGTTGATTCATTCCCTACCAGAGCTCATGCCAATCTTTTTCAACTTAGTGATTATGCCTATGATTCCTCTTAATCTAGATCTTAGAAGCCACTTCACTGGAATACTTTTGAAAATATATTTAGATTCTTAGCATTCCCAATGAGTGCCTTCAGGGAAGACGCGTTAGCTGTTTTGTCTAAAAAGAATTTTGGAGATTTTCCTATCTTTCCATTGTGTATCTTTGTAGTGTCTATTCTATAGTGCTTATAACTGAGAAATAAAGTGAAATACCACTAAAACTAGTGCAGCTGTCATTTTGACCAACTTAATGTTTGAAACTTGCTGGCTGCAGAGGATGATATTGTATAATATGTAAGTATAGAATTACCTACTTTGCTGCGGAGAGTGTCTAATCTTTCCCCATGCAAATGTGATAGAAAACTAACTACAATTTTCCTTTAGAAAGGATTTCGTGATCAAGAAAATGTGTCATATTACATTTTGAATTCACCTGGTTTACTGAATGATGCCTAGTTGTTCATTTCTTGGTCTAAATCAGGAGGAACCTGTTACCCAGTACATGTTTCTGAAAGACAAATTTCATCATCCCAAATTACTGAGTGTGCTAGCCAATTGGGAAATTAAAATTAGCAAATACATTTCAGCAAATGTTGAAAGGCCACTCCACTCATTTTCTAAATCTTGAATCCAAAAGGGACACATATGTGCAAAGAAAAATTATTTGCATTGTTCAGAATTTCTCTAAAGAGATGGATAGACACACACCCATCTTTGAGGCTGTCTGTGGAGATTCTCAATCATTCAGGTCATGGTTGTCCCAAAGATGCTTTTTCCAAAAGCAATTCCAACTTTTTTTCCTTTGAAAATATTTCACTTCTCACCCAAGAAGCTTTTTCAGTTCTGATGAATGAACTGAACTGCCTTTTGGAAAAAGCACTTTTGGACCCCCCCTCTTTGAGAATCTATTAGATCAGTAATTTCTCAGTAAGGTCAGAATGGTTTTCCATAAACAGAATTTTGCTTATACATTATCTTACCAGAATTTTGATTTTGACACAGCCATATTCATCAGTTGTAATTTGAATGTTTGCATTGGTTATGTCAGCAGAAGACAGCTGACATAATCTTTTTTGCCCTGCCCTTTCAACTTTTTCTCTTTTTGTTTTATAGTTCACAGGATGAGTGAGAGGTTTGCTGCTTGTTTTCATTCCCTTTTTGTGGCTGTTACATTTGTTCTCTCATACTTGTCTGCTTAGAATGAGATTTTGTTCTTACAATAACCTTGTAAGAGATGATGATTTGGGGCCAGTGAACTTCTTAGTTGGTCATGAATTTGAATCTGAATATTCTGTATTCAAGCTCTACCATGTATAATCTCCAATCAGGCACGGAATCCTTCTGCAACAAGGAGTTTTCAGAAGAATATTTTTAGCTTTCTTCTCTGGAATAATGAAATAATATTGTCACTATTTTGTACTCCAAACTATATATAAAAAAAAAGATTCCTCAGGATACAATGAGAGATCTATAAATCCTGGTTGAGTGAGAACCATTTGAAAGCTTAGTTTTCATCCTTTTTTAACTACTTGCATGAAAAACATAGTAATCTACAAGGTAATAACTATAATGTGCCTCCATTGTTGTACTAAAGGAACAGCATCAGGCTCTTCTGTATCAACTAGTGCAACAGCATCAACCTGAAGTACAGCAACTGCAGCTTTCGGGAGCCACACAGATTCCCATTAATAACTTGCTGGCAGTCTCTCAGGCATCTCCGCTTCATACAACTGCTACTAACCCATTCCTTGCAGTTCCTGGGGATATTGCAGCTCCAAAAGTTTCTGTAAGTATATAGAGTTGGGTTTGTAATAAAAAGATTTAAAAAGAAAAAAATGATAATGTTTATAGGAGACATTATCAAAACAAATGGCTTGTACTATCACAGCTATTTTGGTATCTGGTCACTGAATGAACCAAGTAGTTCTAATTGTTCTCTCTCTCTCTCTCTCTCTCTCTCTGGTATAACTGACAAAGTTAACTTCACTACAATGCAAATTAGCATAAAACTTTCCAAGTTCCTAATTAATTCCTAATTGTTCAGTATTTTTTTACTTCTAGGATATTGTAGGTCCTCCATCTTCACAAAGTAGAAAGAGCATTTATGGTCATATTGTAGGTGATCTGTTCTGACTTAATAGTTACAGCTTTGACCAGCAGCAAGTTTCTAAACCTCACCCAGCAGCTACAATCTGGTCAGAAAGCTAAAATTCACAAACATTCTATATTTTAAAAAAGTTCATTTACTTCTCTGGTTTTAACCACTGGCAAGGGGTTGGTGTGAACCACTTTTTCTTCTAGTGGAGTTAAAAAACCACATGTTACTGTTCCATTGTATAATCTATCATTACACTCAGTGTGATTTGCCTACAAAATTTTAATGATACCAAATACGGTTTCAGTGATAGGACCCACCTCTGGAATATCTAGTAAAATAATAAAGAGGATTGCATATCATATATGCATGAATGCCCAGGAATTTTGAATTGAAGAGAATGTCTTGAAGGTTGTCTTGCACTTCAGTTCTTTTTTTCCTTTCTTAGCTACTAATCACTGTTCTGAAATAAGATCTATCCAGTAATTTCTTTTAAACTCCCTAATCAGCCAACAGTATTTATTGGACCATATTTTAATCAAACTCCATTTAAAGTGTGAGAATTAAGGATCAGAGTAGTGGTGGTGAACTAAACATTTTAAAAGTTTTTTGTTAATTTTGTTAATTTGTTTTGAATTTCCTATTATCTCACAGCTAAACCTAATCAGTTTCACATTTGCTGCTTTTCTATTTTAATAATAGGCCAAATGAATGTAGAACTTTTCTCTTGGCTATTCAGAACAGGATATGTCCTGAGCTTCCTTTTCAATATTATTTCCCATTTTGTATAGTATGGCAAAAGCAGAAGCTGGCTAAATCGAGGAGCAGGATAAGAGGCTTCTAGCTTGAGATGGGGTGACCTCTCCACTCCCTTCCCAGGAGGGAGTGATACTCAATGCAGAGAAAATTCCCCCTCACTCAACAGCAGGGAACAAAAAGCAAGGACCACATGCTGCTTTCTGTGCCCATTTGGACTTGCAAAAGAGGCTAAGCAGTCAGAAAGGAGAACAATTAGCAGATGGAGATTTACCTTGGCAGCAGCTTTGGAGGCCAAACACTCCTCCGTTCAAAGTATCAGTTGTAGTATTGCTTCTAAGCCTTAGAAAGTATTTCCAATATGGGTATATTGCCAAATATGGGACCAAATAAGCTCAGTCTTTTAGGATTTCTTTGCTGTGCAGATATATTCTGGCTAGATGTATACATTGTTTATTACAAAAACTCTGGCAATTTTAACAGTTGTAAAACAGTGTTATTTTTTTTTTCTCCAGAGGCTTAGTGATAAAAGTGGATCCCTTGCACCGGAAAAAAATTAACACTTGAAAGTGTATGTAAAATTGCAAATCCTGCTGATAGCACTTCATCTGGCTGTGAGTTGCACTCTCAGTCTCTCCGCAGGTATGACGAGACACATCAATGAGCTAACTGCACACTGGAAAAGTGAATCTACCTGAAGATGTTTATTGTACAATTTGACCTTGTTGCTTTGTGTTGCACTGAAACTAAACTGTTTCCATCAAATTGCATGGAAGCTTGGATTTCAGATTAGAGCACTGTAATTTCAGTCAGTTGATTGGAATTTAGTTGCTGATTGAGAAGCCTTTATAGATACTGCAGTGCTAAAAATCAAATCTTTAGTTCCATCACTTCTTTGAAGAAAGCAGAGAAAATATGAAATTTTTGTCAATGACGTGGTGGTTTGTCATCAGTTTTAGAAGCACCATTTTTTCTTCAGAAAAGAATCAGGTTTTAAGTCATTTATTTTGTCATTAGTTTTTAAAATGTTTTGCTAGAACGAAAACATTTAAGAAATGACAATATTTAATTTTGAGATGGATTTTTCAGGATCACTGGAAAAACAGATCTGTTGAAAGTCATAGAACTTTTACCAGATGAGAAAGTAACTCCTGTTCTGGTAATATTTAATGTAACCCAAGTGCCTGTTGCTTCCCTCTGTTGGGTTAGGGATGGCTTTAGACAGCTGGGCATGCACTAAAATGAAATAAAAAAGCCGCAAGCATATTCAACTTTGCACCAGCAGCCTTCCTTGCTGATCTGCCTTTACTAGAAGTGTTTGTCACTATTGATAGCTCAGGCAAATCATTACCTGGGTTGCTTTCCACTAATAAATTACCAAAAAAAAAGGTGGGAGGGGGAGATTTTCCATTGTTATGAAATGTTAATGGGTGAAAAAGACATATTTCACTTTGAAGAGTTGATTTCATAATAAGACTATGCAGTAAAACAGGAAAGTTTTAATTTTAGAGTTAATAACCACTAATTTGAGTCTGTGTGAGTTATTAGTGGAAAATACTCAAGTATACTTAGACCTTCACTGTGTACTTAATTGGAAGAATCTATTGTTTCTGCAATATTGTTCAGTTAAACATTGCACAGTTCTTACCTCATTTCTGTAAATAGGTTTTTGTGACTGTTTTGTATTGTGAAGAATTCATAAAATGTGGATATTTTGATTTGTAAAATTTCTAACTAGTAGATTTAATTGAAAGGTAAGAATAATTTATTTTTATATATTAATGGCAAGTTTTAAAGTCACAAATCACTTTTGTAGATAAATTTACTAAAGTAAATCAGTGTGGTTTAATTTATTTAAATCACTTGTTTAATATTCTGTAATAATTTGTATAAATGTTTTGCCTAGATGTAAAATTGCCAATTTATATAAAGATATGTACAAAGCTTTGGTTAATAAATTTTAATATTGTTTATGGCTGTAAATTGCAATACATGATACAGACTTCATCAGAGGAAAGCATTAGTCACTGTGTTCAATATATGTTATATTCATATCTATGGAAGCCAAGTCCTATTATAAGCATGCTTTTAATGCATACTGAGATATTCAAATCATCGTGTTTTAAATGGATTTTAAACAGGCCTATTCTAATGTGGATACTCTTAGCAAAAACATATAGCCAGAATAGACAGTCCGGTTCCTACTGCAGCAGAAAGTGCCTTGACATGAAAGAGTTACCTTTCTTGAGGAAAAAGGTCATTTCACAATGTTTGATATCCTTTCACCCAATAGGAAGAATTTTGTATAGGTCACTTTAGTTATAATGAAAACTGTGCTGCCACACAAACCCATATCATCACAAAGAAAAAGGGCACAATTGGCTTCTTAAATCTTGAGAAACATAAGGTACACATTTTAGCACTTTAAAAAAAAAGATTGATATCCTCCTCCTACCATGATATTAGTATGAAATGAGTAGATTTTTTAGGCTGAAAGCAACGGTTTTATCCTGTACATATTTTCCAATTCTCTCCACAAGGCTGAAAACTTGAGGATTCTTCTGGTATAGTGGAATTATTCTTATTTGGAATGGAGGCTTGTCTTTGCCATTGGCAGACAGAACTTGGACTACAAATCCAAATATTTTTCCTACTCATATTTCACAACTGGAATATATATTTTAAGTTGTGGCTGCTTCTATATATAGAGTGTAGGAATGCCTGAAATGCCCCACATAGTCTGACATCTAATAGATTATATTTTGGACTAATATACCTGCCATAGTAAAAAAAAAATAATAAGTCCACTTTTGATGAATTTACTGATTAGTAGGACTGATCATCCTTTTGTTTGAGGTTTCCAACTGTTGTGATTTTTTTAAGTTAAGGAAGTTATTTTTTAGTTGTTAATGCTGTCTAGCTATGCTATATGTATAAAGAAAAATGGGCAACGTTGCCCATCTGAAACTGATTTACAGGTTTCCAGGAGCAAGGTCAGTTATGGGGAAGTTGCTGCAGTCCAGGATTAATTTAAGGACCAACTGTTATAATGCAAGGCAATAAATACATTACAATTTGCTATATTGAACAGTATGGTCTGAAGAGAAGTATTAGTAGGATCCACAGTGAAGTGAAGGCAAATAGAATGAAAATAGAAATTCAGTTCCCATTTGTTGGTTCTCCATAAACTTAGACTTATATACCGCTTCACAGTGCTTTACAGCATTCTCTAAGCAGTTTACAGAGTCAGCATATTTCCCCCAACAATCGGGGTCCTCATTTTACCAACCTTGGAAAGATGGAAGGCTGAGTCAATCTTGAACTGGTCAGGAACGAAGGAATCAAACTCCCGGCAATGTGAGCAGAGTTAGCCTGCATTCTAACCACTGCACCACCATGCACCGGGATATACAAAATTAGTTGATCCAGAAATGGAACTTTTATGGAGTGTCTATTTCAGAATTGACAAAATTTTTCACTTCCCTACCTCTGCATGTTCCATTGGAATAGGGTGAATGTAATGCCAATGTTATATGATAATGAAACAGAAAATGTAATATTCTTAGGAAATGAGTGGTTATTAATGAAAACTGAAATGTAAGATTCTTAAAAGATGCAATGTTTCCCATCCTGCAATATGACTTTATATTAAAAAATATTTGCTCAGTTGTTCCAATATGTATTCCAAATGACATAATTTCTTATAGTACTACTTATAGTGACAAAAATCCCTCCTGTACAAAAATACATTGATTCTATTAACACATATTTCAAATTGAAGGTGTAAAATTTACAGATTTTTACTAAGGCACATGACATATTGAAAAACAGAGATACAAAAATACAAGTCACTGCATATGATGTTTAATGTATCTCATTTTGATGAATAAGGTTCTTCAAAATATTCAGCTTTTGACCATTTTTTTCTTTTGTATAAGCTCAACCAACAGCTTATATCTAGTCATACATTCTTCCTGTAGAAAAAGAAGAAAAAATAGAGTATTAATTTGTAATATTCATTTTTTTAAAAGCATTATAGACAATTTACACCAGGCAGGAGAGAAAGGGAAAACATTTTCTGAATTTATGGGGGGAAATTAAGTAGCATCTATTATTACCACAATTTGTATGTTACGTATACAGCTAATCCTCAAGTAACAATCAGTCACCTAACAGCTGTTTGAAGTTATGGTGCCCCCCCCCCCCGAAAGCTACTTATGTTTTGCCTGATGTTATAGTTGCTGAAGTGTCCCCACCTTCATTCACCTTTGCGACTAACTGCAGGGATGCTGCAGTGCTCCCTGCCTACACTGGATCCCTGTAAACATTTCTTCCCTCAACTGCTCCCCGTTGGCCTTTGATTTCCACCCTACCCAAGAAGTCCTTACACTCCTCACTTTTTGAAGAGTTCTGAAACCTCTTCCATAGTGTTGAAACAAATTGCTTTGTCCCTTGGCTGCTTGGTGTGCTCCTCTCTGGGCCACATGGTGGCAACCTGGAAGTGGCCAGCATTTTGCTTCTGTCCACTTGGTGGGAACAAAATGGCACATGAGATAAATTGTTCCATTTTGCTGTCTTATTGAAGTGCACAGTACTGTGGAAAGTTTCTGAAAGTTACAGAAAGCTGCAGAGCTGTGCAAACCACGTTAAGGCAGCAAAACAGTGGTTTGTCCATGGCCATATGGCACCATTCTGGAAGCAGAACCCATATTTCCAGTGGCCAAATTGCATTCTGGTATTCTAAATATTGCAGCCACTTCTGGAATCACGCCACATGGCCATGCAAGGAAGCAATCTATTCCAGCACTCTTGAAGGCTTTGGAGCTCATCAAAGTGAAGAGGAGGGTGTTTGGCATAGTAGGGTGGGAATCAGGCCTAAGGCTTGGGGAGACCTGATGGGCCTGGGGAGAGGCCTGTGGAGATCCAAGGGGCAGGAAGCGGAGAACGGAGAGTCTCGGAGTGGGAGGATCAAGTGAGACACCATTTAACGGCCATCACAACAAGAAGCCATAATGGACACTCCATTACAACTATATCTTGAGGAATATCTACATTCACTGAACACTAGGCAGCTTCCAATATTAAAAAATTCTAATAAAGTTACAAACAGAAGTGTATCTTCCTCCACTACTGAGCTACTGAAGAGTTGCCATTCCAAAGACCCTGCAAATAATTTTGCATTCATTTCTAAATGTCCCAAGAGTGGGAGCCTGACTTTGCAAGGCAAAGTATTCCATATGAGAACATTGGTAATGAGAAGGCTGCCTTATAAGCTATGCACTCAATCTTTTGTGGGCCAGTATCTGCAGCATCCCTGGCTAGTTCAAGTCGAGTTGGCAGATTCCATATGGATCAGACAGCTCCAAAGATTGGAAAGGGGAAGATCACATAGGGATTTTATACAGATTTCCCACCATCTAGAATTAGGCTTGGAATGAGCAATCAATGCTGCCCTCAGAATAGACCAGCGGTTCTCAACGTTTGTGTGACGGCGACCCCCGTCACACAAACGTTATGCGCATGCGCGGTGCCGCCCCCATGCACGGCGGTGCCCCCGGAGGCGTGCCGCCCCCCATGCGCGGTGTGCATGCGCGGCGGCGCCCCCGGAGGGGAGAAAATGGCGGATCGCCGCCTTTGGCGACCCCCGAAAAATGGTCGATCGACCCCAAATGGGGTTGCGACCCATAGGTTGAGAACCGCTGGAATAGACTAATCTGTTATTAAACCTGTTGAAACCATGGCAGCTCCAGACTCAGGTTGTCTTCAAAGGCTTTCCAATATAAAAATGAATTGCTGAAGTCAACTGGGTTAATAAGAGCCTGATTCATTGCCAGTATTTCTATAACTAAGTAAAGTTACAATTGGGAGACTAGTGGGACCGAGCCAAAAATTCCCCTAGTGCTCTGGAGAACAGGACATTACATTGCATACCTGCTTTTTCTAGAGCACTGCCATTAAAGTCAACAGCTGAAAAGTCCATCGATCCATAAGGGTTTTGCATTAACAATGAATGTGTTGCTGGGATTCAGCAAGCATGTGCTTAATCCATCCACTCCCTCCTAGTTTACAAGCATCAGATCAAGATATTGGAACTTCTGTAGCACCTCAGAAATTCTAAGCCCATTTTTCCAGCAGGCATTGATGGCTATAAGTCATTGCTCACTGCATATAGAAACATTTTTTTCCAAAATTTTCCAATGCATATCTACTGCTGCCCAGAATATACAATTAAAATATTTTCAAAATTCACAAGCCTGACCAAGCAGTAAACAGCTTTTTGCTTGTAACAGTTACAGTTCTACTACAGCAGAGCATAAAGTTCCATCTGCTTTGTGTACCTCTAACAGAAGCAAATACTTCTAATATAGCTAAATATAATGTACTGTATCTCTCACTAGAAAATATTCAGCTTGATAGCCAAGACAGAGGTACCATTTCAATCCCCCTTTCAAGCCATATCCTTTCCAACATTATCTTTCATATATCCAGGACAATGCGACATGCAAGGATGTAACTAATCAGTTCCTAACTGTCACCTGGCTTTAACACATTTGGCAACAACTGCTTACTGGCTAATTGTGGTACAGCCACCAATGTTAGACTACCCTCCTGAATAACATAAAACCTGGCAAAGGTTTTTACTTATTCTTCAATTTTCCATCCTTCACCATGCATGAGACTCTACAAAACCTTTGAAATTATTTTGTTAGGATTGCTTACCTCAAGACACTCACCTTCTTGCTACAGGATTTAATTTATATTTACAGCCATGTACCTTCCCTACTTTGCTTTTTTTTTTAAAAAAAAAAAAATTCCATTGGTTGTTTGGACTGGTCTTTTTGCTCTAGTCCCTCTATCACCTTCCTCATCCATCACGCTTTCATAATTAAAAACATTAAATTATCAGCAAGTTTGGGGGGAAGAGAAAAAGAGACAACATCATCTGCTTGAAAACTGAAGAATATGCTCTCCTCCCTCAGATAGACCTTTTGATATAATCAAGAAGGCTGTTTATACATTTGAAACCTCTTGTGCAACACTGATCCTTTAAAACTTTGCTGGAACATATTACATGACAGACTAGGAATACAATCAATATTTTCCAGCATTATGATTTCATGGCCTTACCGGTATCCTATATATAAGACTATGCAACATTTATTTGGTGTTCTAAACACGATATAATTGTTTTCTGCCCATTAAGTCAATACGGTTGAATTGCTTCTATTATTTTTTCAGAGAAACAGGTGATAGAAAACACGAGGCAGACTATTGTTTGTCATAAGTACAGGCAAAAACCTTGTTTATCATTACCTTTAAAAATACTCTGTCAATTGCATTAAATTTAAGAGTGTTAATTTTCTAAAACTAAATTTACAAGAAAAATTAACAAAAAATTACCCAACTCCAAAAACTTCACCTTGCTTTTTCCTGGAACACATTTGGCAATTTTATCCCAACGTTCCAGCGTTCCCTTTGGATACTGTTGCAAAGCCAGCTCTAGAAGCTTTTGTTGATTCTGAGTCCACAAGTCATCTGAACTGCGACACTTCTCTTTTTTTCTGGCCTCATCATCGCTATATTCCTCTTGTTCTGCAGTGTCAAAGTCCTTCTGGCGCTTCCCTCTACACTTGTCCTCTGTTGTCTCTTTTGTCCCTGGGAATATTGTTTCAGCAGCCTTTGGTATTGTTTTCCGCCTCCGATGTCGGGCTTCATTTAACCCAGTCTCTTGTTCATCTGTTGTGATCTTATTTATTGTTTCTGGATCATAATTGTACTTTGTTGTTTCCTCCTGGTCATCTTCTTCTTTATCCCGTTGAGTTATTATAAGATCAGGTAAGTTAATACTGGCCTTGTTGGGTTTTGAGCTTTGGGCCAAAGTTTTCAACTCTGAAAATTTAATAGTACCTATTGAAAAATAGCAGATATCAGATTAACAGATAATAAGGGAGAAGATGGGGAGAACCAACATTCCAAACAGATTTTTGATTAAAGTATGCTTCATGAACCAGCCTTGGAAATATCTGACACCTGTATTCAAAAATCAGACTTGAAAAACATAATAGATTAAATCCAGACTTAAATCCAGATAAGTCTGATTCAAGCTAATAAATCAGGCTTTCATTTTTACTTGTATGTTTCCATGGTAGTCACACTTAGTTTAAACAGTCCAGAAATAGCATCAATTAGGTATGATGTTAAGAGGTCTTCCGTTATATTCTGGCTCTTTTGTTAACATACACTCCTCTATGCACTGATACACTGAAATGAATGAACTGCAGTGCTCCCATTGAAATGGAAGAATAATGCACTGCCACGGTGTTTAATCAATGGTACCCTTAGTTATTTTAATTCATCTTTTGGATCTCTGGAACAGATGTCACATATTTTTGTTTTCTTTACACTGCTGACAATTTGAGGCAGAGTTTCACATTATCCACTTAATGAAGGCATACATGCATAGAAGCTCCTTTTTTTGCCTGTTACTTCTTTTCAAAAGAAACAGTATGCTTAGTAATGGCTTAGTAATACCTAGGACCACCTTTTGTCCACCACTACTCTAGCCAATATGGATATTTACTCTCTGGCCTCTACAATCTTTTAAGTAGGACTCAGAAGCTCTGGAGATTGCCACTATCCCATGACTGTAGAGGAGAATTCTACAACCTCCTAAAAGCTGTATTTTTAAAAAATGAATTATTAAAAATGATAGAATGAAAAATATTAAATACTTAAGAGGCAAGCAGTTATTGCCTATAATTCATTTTAAATGTAACTGAAACAAAAATAAAAGTTTGATCCTCAATTCATCAGATTTGGGAGGATTATCTGGCACTCCAGTCAAAGGCCAAATGTACCATCACATCAGAAAAAGAATCATTTTCCAGATATAGAAGAATCTCTTGATTTCTTTCTCTCCAACTATGTTAATTTATTTACTGCTGTGAATAATTCCTAATCTTGATAACGAAGACAAGGAAGCTTCAGTGGCTATAAAACACTATAAAATGAAATGCATGTTTTTACTTATCTATTCTGCCATTAGTTGAGACCTATGAACATTCAAGACTGCATCAACAAAAGACTAGATTCTGTGGTTCCTAGTTCCTAAAACTCCTGATTAGGAAAGTTCAACTCCAGTTATTCCAGATTTGGGAAGGCAATTCTTCCTAGTTTACAGCAAAATAGGTGGGCAGAATGCCAAGAAATATTTTATTTTTCAAAGAACACTGGATTAAGTTATTAGCTGAAAACATGTTCTTCAGTATATCTATAGTATATAGATATAGATAGCCATAGAAATAGAAACAATTGAGGGATTATGTGTTGCAACTCTGTTTTGGAGGATTGCATAGAGCACTCAAGAGAATTTGGGGATCATTTTTAAATGCTGTTTTGAGGGTAAGAATGGGAATAAGAGTTATTTGGGAGAATATCCCATCCCTACCCTTACCTCCATAATCTTCCTAAAAAGTCCCTATTTGGAAGTGGATTTTTTGGAACTGTGATAGTTTCAGAGTAGGAATGGGAACAGTTTGCCTTTCAAAATATCCTGCCCTATTCTCATTCTTAATTTTTTTAATCCATCCTTCGAGGACAAAACTGCCACAAAAAGTGGAGATTTCAGGTTGTTTTCGTGTAGCACATTGTTGCTAGAACAGATAACAGAAGGCAGCATCTAAGAGGCAAACTAGTTCCATCTCTATGCTTATTTCTAAATGAGCTTTTACTTATGGAGCTACCAAACTGTTGGCCATTTGGCCATCAAAATCTGGCCCAATCTTTAAGAGCCACAATATAGCCTGTGGATTATAGCATCCTAAATTTGCATTTCAGCAAAGTTACACCTACAGATTAATATACAATCCAAAGGAGGGGAGGCATGCAACTGAAAATTCATAAGGAATGAAGAGAGAAAAAAAACAAGTTTAGCTACTGATCTTTAAAGGCAAATAAATATATTTTCTTTAATCATCGTGAGATATATAATGTAGGCACATTAGACATTACCTGGAGCACTTGAAACTGAATCTTTAATCTGCTTGGCTTTCATTGTAACCTGATTAGAAAGAAAGAGAAGTCATTTGATTTTCAATTGTTTTGGTAAGAGGACTTAAAAGATGTTTCAGCAGTGAACTCAGTTGCCTTTTATTTGATTATTTTCAGTCTGCAGTTCTTTCTCCTGTCTCCCAAGTTCATTCCCCCATATCATTACAAACATACCACATATTGAATCTGAATCCTACATTAAGGAAACATATATTTGCATCTCACAACTCTAAAAACTCAAAATGTAATTGAAGTGCTTCAGCAAAAAAATGAAATCCGCCAATAGTTTTTTTAAAAAAGGTGTTGTCATTGGTCCAGAATTAAATAGCCTTCCTGTGAATTGATTTGTTTATTCATAAAGTTTAAAATGCAGCCATCAAGATTTGAATCTACCCAGTTTCTGATTTCTTACAGTTTCTACAACAGAAATGAGGTTTTTTGGATGATGCTGGACTGTAACTGCCTTTATATCCATGAGACAGGTCTGCTGGGGTTGATAGGAATTGGCGTACAATAGCAATTAGAACACCACAGTTCTAGACAATAAATTATTTGACAGATTATTCAATAAATTATCTGACAGGTTATTCCTAATACACTTTTTGGTTGGTGAATCTCTCTAGCCAGCATGCTGTCTGGAAAATTCTGAGAGTCAAAGTCCATACATCTTTAAATTGTCAAGTTTGAAAAATACTGTTTTTCATATTTCTATACATACGCAGAGAGACAGAGATCAGTATAGAAGAAATAGCTTTTGTCCATCATTCGTAAGGTACTCTACTAGAAAACAGAGTCAAGAATGTTCTCCCCCATGCCCATTCCAACTGTAAAGCATTTCCTGTCTCCAATATAGCATTCAATGTTACACTGTCCAAAACTATTGTCAAGCATCTGATATAATATGAGGACCAGATTGCTCCAGCTTAGAACTCTTCTTACGCCTTAGAGCCTTGTAAATGCTCATTTGCTAAATTAGAAGTTCTGGAGTCATCACTATTCATACTTCCTGGCACTGAAGAGAGTTCAGCAATAGTTATAAAACCCAGACACAGCGCCTGGGCAGGGAAAGTCTGGTTAGTTTGGCATATGACTACAGAATTGAACTTGAGCCTCACAAACAGATGGTTTAGTGGCTTGGCCTGATGGATTATGAAGTAGACCAAACTCAAAGAACCACTCAGCCATGAAACTTCAGCCACTCTTTTTTAGCCTTTGAGGGTTGTCATGAAAATAAAATTAGTGCAATGCGGTGGGAAGGGAAGGAAAAAAGTAAATATAATTCCTTGCAATAGATCAATAAACTACATCAGATCTTCTCATGTGTTCAAGATAAGCTTACATTTTCGCAATCAAGATAAGCTTACATTTTCAAGATAAGCTTACATTTTAGGTCAGGCTTCTAAATTTGCTTTTCAAAAAAGAAAACAGTTATCATTTGCAAGCTGCAATATCCTGCATTGGGTGCTTTTTTAAAATGACAGATGCATCTTTAAGTTACTCTGCTTTTCTTCAATATGATCAATATATCCATCTCTCATGAGGGATCCCTTGCTTAGAAAAAACTCCCTGAAATCATAATAGTAATCCATCTAAGTATGTTTAACATAAATCCTGGACTGTTTGAAAGTTAACACCTCCCCTCATGTTAAATAACCACAAAAACTAACAGGTAATGTTTTTCTCCCTGTAACTCTCAAACTCAATGAGAGATAGGGGTTTCTTGAGCTCCTCTGTAAACATGGGACACTATTATAACTGCACCCACTTTCGCTTAGAGTGGCAGGCACCAGCTAATTAGAAAAATGTGTTCCTGTCTATCCACCTGCGTATTTTTTTATGGCTTACTTGGACCTTTTCCACACAGAAAGCAAATCCCGCATCCGTCTGCTATTGCAACTTGAATACAAGAGATTAGTGGCAACAGAGACTACAGAATTGGTTTACCTCCTCCCAGGCGGGTAAATGATACTATTTCATGAAGATGAAATTTAGAGGTCTTTGCTGTCACTTCAGAAAACCTGCAGTTAATAACCATATTAAAGTATGTTTTTTGCAGACCAGTCTATTTTATTTTCACATTTTTTAAGTTTCTGAAAATAATGACCTGGATCGAAAAACCCATTTCCATATTCATAGAGTACTTCCATCCAGCTTTACTTTCAGCAGCAGTTGCGTGCCTCATAGAATTCTATTCCAGAAGAGCCTACAACCTTTACTGCCTAGGAGACCAACAGAACTAATAGGGTTGCCATCAGTAGGAAAAGGCTTCGATGCAAGCATAAAATCCTGTACATAGAACTCAAAATTTTAGTTTGCACCAACATATATTACCCAAGATTATAACATACCTATCCACCTTGTTTGATCTTCTTTCAAAATTTCAGTTCAGTTTGTTGTAGAAATTCCACTTTACAAAAAAGATTGTCAATTTAAATAATACTTCAAATTACCCAACTGAAAAAAGTAACAAAAATAAAGACAGGATTTTGTCACTAAATTTTTGTTGATTTTGTTCTTGTTATAGGTAATCCTCATGTTATAACCATTCAGTGACTGTTCAAATTTACAATTGTGCTGAACAAGGGGTATGTAAGACCAGTCCTCAGAGTTCCAACTGTTGCAGCATGTGATTGTGTTCCAGGTGCTCAGTGCCTGGCTCATAATTACATCATTACAATTGTATGATTGTGATTTCAGGCATTCCTTGCTAGCTTCCCCAAAAGAAAATCAATGGGGAAGCCAGCAAGAAATCACTCCCACTACTTTTTTGCCCAACTGTATTCCATTAAGCCTGCCTGAGGTACCCTCTGTGCTCCACTGTCTGCTTGCCTGGAATTTCTGTCTCTTCCTGTTTAATGATCCAGACAGTCATTGTGATTACAATGGTATTTGGGACTTCTGGATTGCTATCACTAAGCAATGTGATCATGTGATATCGTGCTTTATGATCATATTACATAGTAATACTGAAATACTGATCCTGATTTCCATCATAATCAAAGGACTACCTGTATTATTATTATTAGTATGCTACCTTTTTTATATATTTGGTCAACTCAAAGTGGCAATCAAGCCTAATACCACTTATTTTTCCCACAACAACCCTTTGAGTTGGATTGGTCTGAAAGAACATAACTGGCCCAAAGTCATCCAGTCTCCCAGGGTGGCCTGGAAATCACAGTTTCCAAACTTTTAGGCTAGCACCTTAAAGAACTATAACAAACTATTTTAACTGTTAGATTGAATGATGTCTGAATGATGACATCTGTTTCCCAAACCCTATATAGCCATTACTAAATATGTATCATTCTACCAAAATCTAGATTCATCACAAAAATATTCAGTGCTACTACAACATGCTAAGTCAGCACCACATCTAAGATGTGACTGTGTAACAGCGGGCCCCCATGACTGAGCACTTAGGCAGGAAGCAGTGCTCTTACAAGAGCAGCAACAATATTAAACTGATACAAAGGATTTTAACCTCAGGACATTGATGGTATAATTGTTAAGAATAGTAGTCAACTCTGACAGCTATGAAACTCATTGAGTGATTTTGGGCCAATCATTTTCTTTTCACTTAACTTCTTTTTAAAGGATAAAATTTGGAAGAGATACAACATTATCTTGTATGTCATAGGAGAGCAGATAATAAATGTAATGAACAAATAAAAACATCAAAATCACCATTATCTAAATCTCAACTTTCCTGCAAAACATCCTCCCAAAGATGAATCACAACTATCTGTCTCTGCAAATATACCAAAACAGCAGGGGTAGTAAAGTTAAAACTCTGACCTATATGCTACCTCAAATTACCAAGATCTCTACACTATGAACTCTCCATGTACATCGCTGGTACAAGATATAGAATTATTAGTTTCTTTCAACAATGTCAAACATTATTTTTCAAAGCACATGGAAAAGCAAGAAATTTATATCATGTTTATGTTGCATTAACAGAGGTTTGTGGAGGGGAAACAGATTCCTTGTCCGCATGTCTTTCGTACTACGGTGGAGAAACAGTGGTCATCTCTGGCTACTTTGCCTTCTCCCAATAGTACAGAGAAGAAACTGTTCAATGTTTCTTCCTCATTCGCTTCTCTCTTAGACGTGCCTTCTGTGGACACTCCTTTAACTTCTTTGTTTTTCACCTCTGCTATTCCAGGGGATATGGCTGAGGCCCTGAAGGCAGAGGACAAGAAGTTTGAGTTCTCTCTTCGTCGAGCTCACCAATCCTCGGCTTGGGTGATCAGGGCTGCGACTTCATCTTCCTTTTTCACAAGAGCATCAATCATGTCGCTCTGCGAACTTCAGGCACTCGTTCCCCCTGATCAGGTTAGGACACATCAGACACTAGGGAAACTAGTGGCAGCATCAGAGTACATGGCAGATGCTTCTCTTCATTTGGCCAGGTATTCTGTAAGATCCATTGCAACTACTGTCGCTTCTTGCAGACTTCTGTGGCTGAAGTAGTGGTGTACTGACTTAAAGTCAAAGTGGCGTCTGTCGACGTCCAAGTACAATGGTACAAACCTATTCGGTTCAATCCTCGAACCACATATAATTGAGGGCAAGGACAACCGTAAGGTCCTGGCACACCCATCCAAAAGGTCGGATAGGCAGCCCCAGCAGGAGTTTCGTAGGCAGGCCTTCCATCCCAGTGGTTCCTGGGAGTGGAGGCAGCCCTTTCGGACTGGACAGTCCTGGTATTGGCCCAGAGGCTCACGATCTTTTTCCCCCAGGCAGGATCGCCAACAGGACCGCCAGAACATTGCAGCCAAGGGCCAGTTCCAGTCTAAGTGTCCCTTCAGGGGCTCTGGGGGCCATCCCTATAGGCGGTCCAAGTGACGCCAAGGAGGACTCTTCCATAGGGGGTCGCTTGGCACTGTTCAGCGACGTTTATGGGTCAGAGATACCATAAAACATGGGCTCAGTCTAGAGTTTTATTCACCTCCTCCAGATCGTTTCATCCAGTGCCCAGTATCACAAACACAACCAAGACAAAAT